TGGGTCGATAAATGAGTACCAAGTATGCTTGGGAACTTAACACTGGGGGTTTCGCTTTTGGCTGACCACCTAACCGGAACATCTACAGAGATGCCAACTGCTCCGCTTTCTGGAATAGTTTTAATAAGGGGGTAGCAAATTATGTAGTAAAATTCGTTAAAGGTTATTAAGGTAGTTATTCGTTACGCCTACTTTTTAATTGAGTAACCGATAGATTGATGCTTCAACATTGCATTTTAGATGATACTTATAATTTTTGATATTTAGTGGTGGGAAAATTACTTAAATTGAAAAATACTAAACTAAAAATAACTTAAATTTCACTATCACTAGAAAATACTATTTTACAAAGCGGAGCAAGTTGGCGTTTATCTGCTCCTGCACCCCAGAGCCCAAGGTCAAGAAAACTGAAATGGGCACAGTAGGCCTTGGCCCTCTATGGACTGTCACGCCACTGAGTTTAGTTTCGTATAACTATTAAATTACCTTTATTAATGAACTGATATTATTAATTTTAAAAAAAATATTTGAATTTTTCTATTGAAGTAGTTAAATTTTAAAATCGAAAAACACGATATTTAAAAAAAAAAAAATCTAAGTACGAATAAATGCCGCAATTTGAAATAGAAACCATTTTCTTACGTGACGATTTTATTAAGGAAATGCTCGAATTCTACTAGAAACAATAAAGAGGTTAAAGAGCAAAGAAAAGAGATGCCGAGCGTATTTGGAAGAAGAAGAAAAAAAAATCGTACGCTTGGTCACTTCGATGACACGTTAATTAACAGTGAAAAAAATAAATCCGAAATGAAACGATAATGGAAGAAATGTTCAGTGTGAATTGGACGCCAACGTTATTAAACTAAAAACAAGCTTATCGAAAATCCGGCGATATCTAAGTAGAGCAACCACCGGAAACTTTTCGCAAAGGGAAATTGCCGGGATCGGCAGCAAATTAAACCGTTGATAAATATGAAAGAAATACGATTGGAAATCAAACTATCTTCTTAATTTTTTTTTCCTGATCTCCAACAAAGAAATTTCTGTATAGCTGTGCAGTTATTTTTAATGTGAAACACTGTTGAATTTAATTATTGATAAATGTATAGTGCGCCAAAAAATAAATAGACGACCCTGAATAACTTTTGATACATTTATTGGACTTTCATGTTCTAGGATTCCATCGCAGACGATATTTTTCGCCCCCAAAATATCCGCAATCAGGGAAATATGATCCAAATAGATTGTTTAAGAGAACGCTATTTTATTTTTTTATTTTTCCTGCGCATTTTGAAAGCCTTTGCACACAATTATAAAATTTGTTTATCCAAAGATAACTCCATGCAAAAAAAAACTTTTGGTAAATATTTGTTATTATTTTATTTAATAATAGTACAAAATTTTTTTGAAATGTGAAGCATATAGTTTCTTACATCATTTTAAAGTATGCAATTGTACGTGACTGAATGCAGAATTTGAGCCAAATCGATCGAATAGTTCCTGAGAAATCAAATGTTTAAGAACACGACTATTTTAAAATTCGATTTCTTATGATCCGATTTAAATTTTGCCGTGTAAAATTACGTTTTTTAAAATGATGTAAAAAATTTTATGACTTACAATCCAAAATTTTTTCGGTTATATTATTAAATAAAATAAGAAATATTCACAAAAATCTATTTTTTCCACGGAATTATTATCGGATAAACGAATTTTATAATTGAGTGCTAAATTTTTTAAATTCACTTAAAAATATCTCAAGATACGACTTAAATATGCAAAAATTAACATTAAAAGGTCCTAAGTTTGTATCACTCTCCTAAACAAACTATTTGAACCAGATTTTGGGGGTCAGAAATCATAATTAATCAAAAAGAAAGGCCATGTTTATTCAGGCAAAATAGGTTTTCGTGTCTGATTTCGTAACTTAAAATATCGTTTGCACGATTTATATAGCATATTTGTAGTCACCATCTCAAACCATTAGGATTGAATCCTAGATCATGAAAGTTCGATCAATTGATCGAAAGTTATTCAGTGTGATCCGTTCTTTTTTTTTCCACACTGTACAATAGGAACTTTAAAATTAATAAAACTTTCAAATAAAATTAGTTATTTGAGAAATTCTGAAAAAGGTAATCACATGCTTAGAAACCCGAAAGCTTTAACTTTTCACTATATTTCAAAGGTAGTGAAATAAAAATTCAGTTATACATAATTTTTAAAAGTTTTATGGACTTGAAAATATGTTAAAATAATTCGAAAGTCTTTTAAGTAACTTTCAGCCCTGAGCGATAATATATTTCTACTTATGATGTGATACACCAAGGTCATATGTTTTTTATTTTAAGCATAATTTCCAAAGGAGAAGGTAAGGTCCTGTCTATAAGCCTATACGTTTTTTATGAAGTTGTACATTCAGACAAAAAATAAATTAACCAAAAAATATAATTTTTAAAAAATTTGATAGTTTTTCACACAAAGCTAATTTCTAAATTGAAATCCCCACACCCCAATTTCAGAAGGTCAAATACTTGCATAAAAAGAGGAAGAAAAAAATTCTTCCCCTAAGTCAGTGTTTCCCAAAGTGTGGTACGGGAACAGTTTAGTGGGGGTACGCGTTCTTTTGCGAAATATCTTGTAACAAATGAAAATTTCAAAAAGTTTTATTTAAAAACAAAGCTAGCCATGAAAATTTACGATTATGTATTTTTCTAGTGGCTATTTTTTGCAGAGTTAACAGTTAATAATGAGTGGTGTCATTAGCCAGTTGTGATTTTTAACTTTTGTGCAATTTTTTTATAATGAAGGTTTGTAATAAATTTGATTTATTTTGATTATTTTTATAAAATATAATTTTTATCTCTAACATAGAATATGGATCGCTGGTTAGTATTAATAAAAACGTTGTACCAAAAAAGAAAAATAAACATATTTTTGGAAAAATACATTCATTTTTTTATTAGTGGTACACAGCGTCATACGAAAAATTTAGAAAGGGTACGAAAAAGTCATTAGTTTGGGAAACACTGCCCTAAGTTATCCTCCAAAAAATTATAATATATGAAGGTATGAGTTTCACTCTAGGTTCTAATTTTTTAATTATTATTATAACTTACAAATAATAATAAATAGTAGCAAAATCAATGGCTTTCATATAAAAGAATCAGAAAATTAGCAGATCATTAAATTTTAATTATCCATACAATTTTAATTCCAACATATTTTTTAATTAATTTATTTTTTAAAGGTTTCCTTACAGTAGACCTTTCAGTTAAAAATGAATGGGTACTAACAGAAGAAACAAGTTTGGATGATTTTGTTGTAAAAAAAGTGTTTACAGTTTTTTTTAAAAGCTTATAATTCCTCATTAAAAAAAAAAAACAATTATTATTAAAAGGCATTTCTACAAATCTTCATAAACATTTAATAAAAATAAATTGGGTTAAACACAAATGAGAATTATTATTTTACCAACAAATAACTCTAAGAAATTATAATTTTAAATAGAATATAAATTGTTTAAGTTATGAATTGTAAACAAAGAAAGTATCACTATAAAAATCACTGTTAATGATAATTATAGTTAAATTTTGTAAACCCACTGCATGAGAGAAATATCATAAAACAAAGCAAATGAGAAATCTGGTATTATTCAACAAAAATATGCATCTTTTTTATACATATATAAATTCGAGAACTATTAAATGGTTTTAAGAAGAAAAAAATAATTATAAATAGATACAAAGAGAAGTTTTAAACAAATTACTACAATGTATTTTGGTTTACAATATATTTTGGTTTAGTACTTGGTTCAATATGCAACAAATGTTTTTTGTTCCAAAAAATTGATAAAAATTTGAAATAACGTAATATTTTTCAAGCTTGGAAAAATTATCACTAATTTTACCTAAGAATATGTAAGGACTTAAAAATGTATTATAATAAATATTATTATGAATTGATAATTAAAATTAATAATTTAATTTTAAACTTTAAATAATTATTATAAATATTATTATTATTTACTGTTATTAATAACGATAATGTATAGTAAATTTGAGGCAGCATTGTAAAACGCATTTTGAAATTTATTGGACAAGCATAAAAATTTTTAACAGAAAAACTGATTGACAGGAAAAAAATAATTGGAATTATGAAAAATAAGTAGAAATCTTTAATAAGAAGTTTTAAACAAATCACTACAATAAATTTCATAATTTAAGAAATATATGCAACAAACGTTTTTGTTCCAAAAAATTTGAAATAACGTAATTTTTTTCAAGCTAGGAAAAATTATGACTAATTTTACCTAAGAATAATTAAAGGCTTAAAAATATATTATAATAAATACTATTATGAATTAATAATTAATAACTTAATTTCAAACTTTAAATAATTATCATAACTATTATTATTATTATTTACTGTTATTAATAACGATAATGGATAGTAAATTTTAGGCAGCATTCTAAAATGCATTTTGAAATTTATTGGACAAGCATAAAAATATTTAACAGAAAAACTGATTGATACGAAAAAAAATAATTGAAATTATGAAAAATAAGTAGAAATCTTTAATAAGAAGTTTTAAACAAATCACTACAATAAATTTCATAATTTAAGAAATATATGCAACAAACGTTTTTGTTCCAAAAAATTTGAAATAACGTAATTTTTTTCAAGCTAGGAAAAATTATGACTAATTTTACCTAAGAATAATTAAAGGCTTAAAAATATATTATAATAAATACTATTATGAATTAATAATTAATAACTTAATTTCAAACTTTAAATAATTATCATAACTATTATTATTATTATTTACTGTTATGTATTAATAACGATAATGGATAATAAATTTTAGGCAGCATTGTAAAATGCATTTTGAAATTTATTGGACAAGCATAAAAATGTTTAACAGAAAAACTAATTGACAGGAAAAAAAAATTTTTAATTATGAAAAATAAGTTGAAATCTTTAATAACTCACCTAAACCTAGGGTAAGATTCACCCGATTAGGGTATTGTATTCCTTCGTACATAGTTTCACTCTGCCACCACGTTTGGTTATCATTATTATTAAAATCTGTCAAATAATCCGGAGGATGCGCTAACTGGGGGAAGGATGCATCGCAGATCTCACATGACTTTTGCGCCCCAGTTACCCCTGTCTGAAGACAGTACTCCGTAGGGCCCCTCGTCCCGCACGTGTTTGTCGCTTCCACCCGCACATTGAAGGCAGCATTCACAAATTCAGGAATGCAACGCTGGGGTCGACGGAATTCGTCATAACATCGACTTTGAGTGTCTCTGGGGCTATGCAGATCTGTAAATATCAGTTCTTTTTGTTGACAGCGGGAATAAGGTAGCAAGGACAACGCCCACAAAATTAACCCCGACCGAAAAAGAGTGATTTTCATTATACTAATGGTCGCCATCTTCCAAGTTCGGACCACACTTCCAAACTGGCCCTTCGCGGCGTAAAAGAAAAATCGCCGTAGTGAGCAAAGTTACTTATCGCCGTATGACTGTTGAATGTCTTTAGGGTTGCTGGTTTGTTTGTGATTGGGAGAAAAAAAGTTTTTTTTTTGGCGAAGTCGAAATAGTTTCGAATGGCAAAAAATGGAAAATAACTTTTTATTTCTATCAGTATCGGTGCACGCAAGGGGTCACGAAAAAGCACAGCCTTCCTCCAGTCAATCAAATAAATTAGAAATCGTATTTTGCATTTATCTTGTAACTATTTTTTTTTTATTCTAAATAATTGAAATTAATACTTGTCATGCATCAAATTAAATATACTGATAACAGAGCTGAAATTCAATATACATCAAGACGGAAAAGAGTAAAAACTGGTATCAAATAAATGTCGTTTTTAGCTTTTTTTCGGGAATAATGAAGTAGCCCAGTGATTCTCAACCTTTTTTTCGGGGCGGCACACTTTTAACGATTTCGAAATTTGACGGCGTACAATGAAAAATATTTGTTTAAAAGTTGTTTACTTACCAATAATACAGTGTGTTAAATAGTTTATGATAATAATTTTGAATGTGAAATAATATACTACAAAGGCATGTTTATTAAAGGGATTAATTATTTCTTTCGATTAGTTTTTTATTAGTTAAAAACATTTTTTTTTCTAGTTATTAATTGTTAGCTTGTTTTCTATAGCTATTAACTGTTATTATTTTGTGATTTCTTGTTAACTAGTTTTTTTGCTGATTATTAATTGTTAGCTTATTTTTTGTTAGTTATCCTTTGTTAATTTGTTTTTATAACTATTAATTGCATAGCTTACTTTGATGATTATCTTTTATTTCCGTTTGAAAGTTAGTATTTAGCTTGCTTTCCTTTGTTAATTAATAATCATTTAATTTCCTACTTATTTCAACATTTTTTAAAATTGTCAAAGACAATTTAAACACTTCCTTCTTATTTTAAGATAGTCAGAGACAAGACAATCGCCAACAAAGATGTTCGCGCTGCTAAAGCGTGGAAAAATTATAAAATGCATTATACATATATATACTTTTCTTTAATTTAAACTTTACTCGTAATAAAAAAAAGCATTATAATTTTTATTGTATCATTTCTAATATTTGTCGACACACAAAAGTGCCGCGGCACAGTGGTTGAGAATCACTGAAGTAGCCATAGCTACTATATATTCTTTTTTTTAGCGGATACATTTTATATATTGAATTCCTTCTTCCCCGAAAAATAAATTAATATCAGTGAATTGTTTATTGTTCAGAATAGATTTACTCCTCCCGAAAATTATCTACTACTGAAAAAGTTCTAGTACCAGTTTTTTCTCTTTTCCGTCTCGCTTTCACGCCTGACTGTAATTAAATATGTATACTGTACGCTGTAAATTCTTATTCTAAATAATTATTAATATTTTTTTATTCTAAATAATTGTAATTATTACTTATGTGTCATATTGAATCATCAATTGTAATCATATATCTATATTATACCTTGTAATTTCTTAATCTATAATTATTAATATTTTTTTCAATCTAAATAATTGTAATTATCACTTATTATGTGTCGTATTGAATTATCTACTGTAATCAAAAATCTATATTATACCCTGTCAATCAAATAAATTAGGAATTATATTTTGCTTTTATGTATAATACTTTTTTAGTTTAAATAAATATTAATATTTTTTTTATTTTATATAATTGTAATTAATATTTGTTATATGTCACATGTAATCTACTCCGCTTCATACACTGAAAGCAAAAATTGCAATTTTATATTTAATACAATAGTTAATATTTATTTATAGCAACAAAAAAAAAGGTATAACAAAAAGAAATATTTAACAGAAAATTAAAAATTGCATAACACTAGAATCCATTGTTAAAAAATTCTTTTATGATCATTTCATAATTAATTGCAAAAAAATTAAACTAAAGCAAGATATTTATTAATCTTTTAATGTTAGAATTTGGTATAACGGCCCCAATCTGCTTTAAGCTGTCTCAGTCTAATACTCCATTTGCTTATAAATGAATATTCCATTTAGAAAATTAGATTAAAACCACCAAAAGTATATTTTTAATGCGTTTAATATGATTTCTAAGTCGAATAAGGATCAAGACAAAGTCCGGCCCAAGGCCCACCAAATTTCTCGGATCCCTTACTGAATTAAATTACTCAAAAGTAGACCAAACAATAAAAAAAAATGTATTGAACTGGATGATTCAAGAGAAACATTCTAAGAATTTTTGAAAGCAGGCGATTGAAGATTATTTTTCTAAGATAAAGTTTACTCATCTATATATTTAAGCAAAATATAAAACAATGTTATATCAAAATAAAAATAGTTTGTTAACCACAAACAATTGATAGTTGTGATTTTCGCTAGAAGTCACTGATTAGCTGAATTATTTTCTTACTGCAAGGTGTAATTATTTTTTATTTAATACTTAAATCAACACAAAGCTAGCCCATTTTTCATTATATTTAACGATAACTTTATGTATTCTAAGATATTAAGGTTATTAATTATAATTTTTATTAGAAAATGCATTTCAACACACAAAAATTATTCAAAAGAGCCAAAATTATATCTTAGAAAATTAAAAACACATTTAAATAATATTTTATTTAAGAATAGCACATTTAAAAAAATTTAAATTCATGTTCAATGAAAAAATTATACCCAAAATATTGATACATTTAAAAGTATTCAATACAACAGATTTTTTAAAAACTTTTTTTAACGTATTTTCAGCAAATAATTTTATGCGAATTTTAAAATCCTGTTCTGTAGTAATATCTGTTTCTACTTATTATATAATAGGCTTTTCCAGCATTAACGTTTGCTCTTAAATATTGCTAAATGTATATGAAAGCAGAAAAAAAAGTTATGTTCAAATAAAAATAGTTAAAGACATTTGGTGACCATAAACAAGAACTATCATGAACTTTTGCTGTGTCATTTAAGCTGTAATAATTCATTAGTTAAGCGAGCACAAAGCTAGCCCACCTTACATTCTAATTTGATTAGTGCAATGGTTAAGTAAGTTTGGTTGTATCACGATATAAAGAAAAATTTTAAAAAAAATTCATTTTTTGAGAAAAACTGTTTCTTTCAGTATTTAAAAGAAATAGTAATATTGAGGACTTTTTACTAATTTCTGTAGCCCCTCAGAAACTGTGAGCCCTAGGCCCATACCTATTGGGCCTAGACGATAATCAGGCCCTGTAATCTAGCACGTATGAGTAATAAGTTACAGGTTACTTCTGTGTGTTATATTTGAGCGGGAATTATAATAAGAAATCTTAACAAGCAATGTGCATACTTGTACTTCTACTTGCATACTTGTACCGCTCAGTGACGTCAACTTCAGCGGAGTTGACTGTAGTAACGATGGGGATAATAGAAATGTCTCGTATTAAAATTAACAACACATTTCGTAACTATAAAATATTTGAGATAGTTCAAATTTTAAAATGGTCTTTCGACTTCAATACTTGTACGGTTGCTGAGAAATATTTTAGAGAGTGGTAGTCTTATAATAATACTAACGGTATTAAATGAACTGAACTGCATTAATCATCTGAGCACCTGAGGTAACGCCTCCTATAACTGAACGGTTTTTTATTGGTAGTCCGATCAGACCATTGTGAAGGATGCCCACTTTCAGAATAAGTCACTTAATGCAAAATCTAGTTAAAATAAGAAAGTGGTAGCAAATATATGACTAAAAATTTGTTTTATTTATGAATATTATTGGTTTGCCTTATTCATTTGTCAACCACTACAGATTCAATTCTCAAATATGTAAGATACATTTCTCTCAATTACTTTTATAAAAGATTTTGGGTTCATGCGCAAAACTGGTTCACTTTTTAAACAGTTTGCGCGGACTACTTATAAAAGACCGTGTGGAGGCTTCTTGATGTAGGAGGTGATGCCTGAGGCCGCTTGCGGCCCTTTTCCCCTTCATCTTTAACTTGAACTTTCTGGTGTTTCAATGAGGTGGGGGAATTTAAATAAAGTAAGGTATATTATCCTATCTAATATATGTTATATAAATAATTTAGACTTATTTATTTGTCGTGATAGATTAAATGATAAGATAAAGATTTTTACGTTGACCTATAAATATTACTACCACAACGAAAAAAAAATTCTGAATGGCCGCAGAAGTTGGTATCGATCTAAATTGTAGTGATGAACACGAACGCTTAAATTTTCTAAAATAAATGTAAAAATTTCATTTCCACTTTATCTGTTTAATGAAAAAGTGAGATCATATATAACCTCTTCAGACCTGATTAGGCACGACCTAGAAATTCTTTCAAAGTGGTAGCTAAATTTTTGTAAAAATATACATACTTTGAAGCATTCATATCTACTAAAAACATTTTCATTTCGTTTTTCGTGGTATGAAAACTTCAAAACTGATTGTATAAAAAATCGAATCCCAGCGATGACTGATAAATGCGAATTCCGCATCCAGCTCGCACCGACTACAGTGGTGATGTAAAATATCCTCAGTGGTAGACGGATCATGGGTTAGAGACCCCTTGCCATCAGACTGACCCTGGGAGGTTTTCGTAGTTTTCCTCTCCATGTAACGCAAATACGAGCTTGTTCCCTCAAAAAGTCTTCCACGAAGGCAAAATTTCTTCTAATACTTGATCCTGGAGTTCCCTTGTCTTCTAGATTGGGTACAAAATTTCAAGGCTACCGAGTTGAACACTTCAAGACTTAAACTCAAAATTAGGTCGGCTGTTCAACGGCGATTATAAAATATAAAAAATAATAAAAGGTGTAACATTGCATAAAACAAAATTTACAATTTGACTTAATTTGTGAAATTTTGATTTGAATTTCCCTTACGAACCATTTGGGGTCAAAACTTTTGATCTCTGAAACTACTAGAAGGAATTTTTTTCCTTTTTATCCCAAATTAAATTTTTATTTCAAATTTGAAATTCGAAATTTTTTGTTACCTTTTTCATACATTTAGAAAAAAATGAAACAGAGGGGATTTTAGTGTCTTGCGTTAACATTGCTCAAACCCCTTCATCCTTCAGCTAAGAGAGCAATTCATAAATCCCCTCCTACCTTAC